CGGTGTGCCTAACTCCTAGCACTGCGTAGAGTCTCAGGCCAATTCAACCCAAAACAGTCAAGGATTCGCATGTGGTCACCCTTGTGGCCGCCGTATCCTTGCATGCTTGACGAATCAATAGTCGCTACCCAAGGTAGGTCTAGACAGAGGGCACAAATCGCGCAGAAGTCCGGCTTACTGATTGGCTAAATTAGGAAGGCGGGCGGCAAAAGTATATCACATGCTTTATTTTTAAATTCCAAGTTAGGACGTCAACGTAACATACAACGCAAAAACAGCTCAGGATCAGATATTAAAGCCACTAATGTTCAACAGGACATCATAACTTCACACATTCTCAGCAAATAGTAATATTACTAGAAGCCTGAGCAATGGGGGACCATTTCACACAACGTCTTTCAATTATTGTCAAAAATAATATACACCTAGGCGGTGATATTACGGTCAGGAACACTTTAGTGGCACGGTAATTGAATGATCCTCCTATTTTTGGGAAGTCATAGTAACCTTCATGACAGTGGTGAACCATACAAAAAAGGCCAGAAACCAACCCTAATAGCGCCCGAAGATGTGAATAAGTTGGTGATAAGTCATGGAGAGGAAGGGACAGTATCATTCTGTGGAAGTGCAGTCTACCGTTCAGGAGTCAAGGGCAGCTTGGATCTATACGATGGAGATACTCGAATAGCATCGCTGCACTGGAGGGGTCCCTGGGCCCTGACTGGAAATTATTTTGAGGTGACAGATGTTAAAAGTGAGAAGTATCTCGTCGACGTCTCTGATATCCCTAACAACGGGATTCTAGGAGACATATCTGTCATTGTAACTAATATTGCTCCTTAAATTCTTGATATTGCATTACCAGGATCAAACCTAAATATTACTGAACGTCAGCACCTGATATCTCTCAATAACTGGCTCCATTCTGAACTATTGCCTATCGCCTTTCAGCAAAAGTCGCTTATTGACAAGTACTGTATTTCTGTAGCCTTGCCAAAGTGCAGGCCAGGGCAGCGACCCAAGAGGACCCCATGCCATACACACAGCTCCCCAGGATGAAATCAACCACTCTCAACATCGCACGATCCCAACAAGACACCAGCAAAGGCTTGCCCGAGAAAGTAGGCAAACACGTGAAGAGGGTCGACGCGGCCCTCCCAGGCAAGCATACTCGACAGCTGTATGATCGACTATCAGGGAAAGAAGCGAGCGTGCTGGCCCAGCTCCGAACAGGCATGGCAAGATTAAACGGATACCTTTATCGAATCAACGTTGCGCAAACGGATCAGTGTGAATGCGGACAAGCAAGAGAGACAGTAGAGCACTTTCTCTTTTGATGTCGGAGATGGACGACACATCGGACAGAAATGCTGCAATGTACCAGCACCCACCGAGGCAACATATCCTTCTTCCTAGGCGGGAAATCGCCCTCGGATAATCAAGACTGGACTCCAAACTTGGAAGCGGTACGAGCGTCAATATGGTTTGCAATCGCCACCGGCCGACTCGACGTCGCTTAACCATATTGTTGAACACAAATCACCCACCCTTCCCGAGCTAACTCACACCAACCACCTCGTGCCAGACATGGTAGACGCGCTTCAACTGCCGAAGATAGGATGTTGAACACTTGGAGAAGCGCCTTCAAGCTAGCCTACTAACAAAATTACTAACCCACGAGAATCTCCTACGATACTGATAGGCGGCACGACATATGTTAACAGTGATTTTGTATGGGCCACAAGGAGACAAGGCACATCTTAGGACATGTACTAGTAGATAAGTGATAGTTGCCCTTTCGGCTTAGCCGCCGGGCGTTAATAAATTGTTTGTTTGTATTTCTGTATATGCTACTGCATATACGTTCCTAGTCCTGCAGACATATTGCGATGCTTCTGAATTGATACCGCTCAGATACTTTGCGTCCTGACATACTCATCAAGCTTGCTGTAGGCTAGTTCCATGGTGGAAGGTTACAGCATATTAAATTGGACACTGCAACGGCCAGGGAAAAGGTCATTAGCACGGGAACCTTCACTCAAATCTTTCTCAGGATGGCCGGTCTTTTCAATGACACAAAAGAAGAATAAACGTGAAACAAGTCCGAGCATGACCCCGGTTCTCTATTTATTTGACGTGAAACCAACCAACGGCAGTCGAGTCCTCATCAACAGACTGCTGCAAACAACACTGACACTGCTCAATGCCATCGCCAAACTAGCCCAAACAGGGTCCAGCCGAATGTGATTGCCATTGCTCACAATGGGGTAGAAGACACCAGCAGCCACCGGGATAGCGATGCAATTGTATACTAGAGCCCAACAGAAGTTGTACTTGACTCTGTTGAACACAATGCGACTAAGATCAATAAGAGTCAGGAGCGATGTCAGGCTAGAAGATATGAGGACGAATTCCGCCGACGAGATTGCAATCTCTGAGCCAGATCCGATTGCAATACCAACGTCAGCCACTGTCAGCGCGGGGGAGTCATTAATTCCATCGCCAACCATAGCAACAAGTGGTCGGGTGCGCCTTGGTTCTCTCCCCCAGTGGAATAATCTCCTCTTGGAGGGTCTCGGCACCGTCTTCTGGAGATATCGTATCTTCTCTGCCTTTTGCTCAGGCAAAACTCCGGCGATGATATTCTTCGAGGAGATTCCGACCATTTTACCAACTGCATGAGCCGTTGTTGGGTTGTCTCCTGAAATCATCCAAACCGAAATTCCCCTACTGCGAAGAGCCTGCAGGACCTCTTTGGCCTCTGACCGGACGGGATCAGCTACAGCCAGCATCACAGAAAGCACCCAGTGCACCTTTGCCATATCTCCGGGTTCTTCTCGGACTCTGGTTCCGATTAGAACGACCGACTTGGCCTCGCGCTTCCAAGCTGTAAGGATGGCGGCATTCGCAGACGAGATAGTGATATCATGGTCAAGCATTAAGGCCTCGTTGCCAACAATAATGTCAAGAGTAGACGACGGCCGGTGACGAAGAGGGAAGGATCCCTTCATCCCCTTTCCGGGAATCTCGTCAGCAGCTGAGGCTGTGAGGGCCGGCGGTCTCTTGGAGTCAGCAAAGGACGCCATCGCCTGAGCAATCGGGTGAGTGCTTTTCTGCTCGAGTGTTACCACCGCGCCCCAAACCTCATCAATGTATTCTTCATGGGTGGTTTTGTGGTTGGTGACTGACGGCTGGACACCTTCAGTAATCGTGCCTGTCTTGTCAAAGACAATGCAATCTAGCTGACTAGCCTCTTGAAACGCTTCCCCCCCTCCTTTAACTAGAATTCCATGCTGAGCAGCAAGCCCTCCGCCGACAAACAGTGCGGTCGGGGCTGCAAGTCCAATCCCACATGGACAAGCAACAACGAAGACTGAAATAGCGAACTGCAACGACCAGAATTCCCATCCACCGGCCTCGCCCTCCAGCCAGGACGTCGGCAAGCGGCCGGAGATACCTAGTGACAACCAGATTATCCAGTCCAGGACAGCGATAAGGGTAATAACGGGAACAAAATAGCCCGTGATCAGGTCTACGGTGCGCTCGATTGGTGCTCTCCGAACCTGTCCTTCGCGAACAGCGCTGATGATCTGGTCCAGCATCGAGTCACCAGAGAGACGGGTGACGCGTACAAGAACGGGATTTGCCCGGTTAGTTGTCCCCGAAAAGACCTCGTCGCCGACGGATTTGGAGACCGGCTCTGATTCGCCTGTCAAACTCGACTCGTCAAACTGTGAACTCCCTTCAACAACAATACCGTCGTACGGTGGAGAGGCACCATTTGCCACACTGACCACGTCATTAAGCTCCAGCTGATCAATCGGGACTGTCTGCGGTGTAGCAGCAGATGGGGAAGAGTGCTCTATCCTCTTCGACGCAACCAAAACCGCCGTCGTCGGACGCAACTTGCCTAGTAAGCTGACGGCATCTCCGGCCTTAGCCTTGCTGTAAGCCTCGAGCAATCGACCAATCAAGAGGAACATTGTGAGGAAAACGACAGAGTCGAAGAATGACTCAACATGGGTGACTCTGTGGCCGTCAACGGGCTGAGTGGCATTGATACCCAAAATAGCGATGGAGGAAAAGTAGGCGACGGTAGTACCCAGAGACATCAGCATATCCATGCTGCCAAAACGGTAGAATCGGCGGAGGATTGAGGTCTTGCTCCCTGGCCGCCACAGTGCCACAAGTTCGCGCATCATCCGACGGTGGAACAGATCCGCTGCGAAGAAGTAAACCGGGGTTGCCATAATAAACAACGCCCATTCCATGCGTGAGACCTGACCGGCCCAGATGGGCTGCTCGAGGTACATGACCCCGGGATTGTCTCGGGGTACTAAAGACATATAGACGATCCCAATAATAAACGTTGGAATAGCAATCAACACCGAAAGCAGCAGGCGTCGGGCGATGCGCCACATGTGTCGACGTTGCATCATATGGGAGCGCTCCTCGAGACTAGGGAGATGGTACATAGAGACCCTGAAAGCCTTATCCACCTGTGCGATCGCATGTAAGATATCCCGAATGGTGAAATCGGGCCCGTCTGGGGTATATGCTATAGTGAGCCGCGGATGTCCCTTTCGAGGAGACTCCGTCACCTGGAGCCTATTGGAAAACACGGCTAGAGCATCTAAAATTCGCTGGGGGCAGTTTGGACAATGCATCCCGTCCACCTGGATAGTGACGGACCGGTTCAAGGCTCGTTGGTCGGATGCCGCTCTACCCTCAACATTGCCGAGTTTAGCGGGATACCCCAAGTCGCTGATGATGGCGGCGACCTCTTCCAGATGCTCCTTGCCATGAACTTCGACTGTCGCACCCCCTGAAACAAGATTCACGTCCACTTTTTTAACCCATTCGTAACAGTTGAGCGTGTCTGTAACTGTCTTAATGCAGGAACTGCAGGTCATGCCTCCAATAACATAGGAGGCTTGCCACATGTCGGCGGACACTGGCGGTTTCGAGTGCCTCTTGGGCAAAATATCTTGACAATTGATGAGCTTGGCGGAATAGCCGGAGCCTGCGACTATCTCTAGTGCTTCGTCCACACGCGACTGGTTCAGGAGAACGACCACCGCGCTGCTAGTCAGTAGATTAACGTCGGCCGACTGAACCCATGGTTGGTTATTCAAAGCGTTGGTAATCTTCCCGACACACGAACTGCAAGACATCCCACTGATCGATAGTGTGACGCGGATGCGCTTTTCCGACAGATGGTCGTTGACGACAGATACCAGGTGGTCGTCTCCGGGGCTGCTGGACTCGGCGACCGGGCCGAGGTTATTTTGCATATCCGGCAGATCGTCCCTCAAGTTGGATGATTGCGTCGCTAGCTGTACAGAACATGCATTACATTGCCGGATATGCTTTTCTGACTCCTGCAGAGGATCCAGGCCGGAGGAGGGCCCGACGGTTGATGGAGGGGTTGAGCGCCACGCTGAAAGACTCTCCACACTCTCAGGGCCACCGCTTGTGGAATCGCTGGATTCAGCAACGCTGTCAATATCAAAGGCGGCGTCTTCTAGGGCATGCACCATTTGTGATGGACTTAGATCAATGGGATGCGCAATCTTAATCTCGTGCAGGACGATGGACACCGACACGGAGAAAGGGGGTGGATTAAGAGAAAATAGGGTATCGTTCACTGTAGAAACACACGAGGGGCAATGGAGGTTGTTCACCAAGATGGTTGTAAACCTCGAGTCGGGTAGCAAACGCTGCTCAGTAGGAGCCATAATTGTAGATGCAAGTATGGTACGGTGAATGTATATCTGAGGGTGTCCTTCATAGAAGACCTAGATCTTATATGTCTATTATCCAAGCTGATTTCAAAGCAATGAGTTATGTATTTCAAAAGAAGATTCAGGAAGCGCGATAATGCCGCAAGAAACAATGACTTGGCATATCCCGATTGTGCGTCCAATTGACCGCCACTGAGAAGTTTGTGCGCCATTTGCGCGCCAAACCTTGAAATTCTAGCACGCCAGCTTTAACAGCTTTACCATCCTTTGACCTGGCAGCATGGGGAAGAAAAGTCCCCGCGTAAGGCTTGCCGTTCTCTCGCTCTGTTTTTGATCGACTTTGCCGTAGTTCTATAACTCTTGCCAATGACAAGGACCTACTCTAGCGGCAGGACCCTGACTCCTTGGAAAGTAGTAAAGAATTGCATTCAAAACAGTTGCAATAGCATATAATAGAAGTAGTATCCAGGTTACTAGGTATCGTCCTTCGGACCACCATAAGATACCAAAGCTAGAGCAACCTCCTCGAAAGCCTGTTGCCGATAAATAAGATCATCCTTTTTTCATAATAGCCAACCCATCAAGATGATCCGGCAAGATAGTAGAAATTAATGACAGCTATGACGACCCTGATCCCGCTGGCTATACTGCGCCCACCCCAGTAGACCAGCACAAATTATTGCGCGCCAAATATTACCACGGGTAAAGCCTTTCCGCGCTATGCTGGTGGAGAGAGTCAGGATGGAAAAGGGCAGTCTACCAGTGGTCAGAATACAAGGAAAGCGCGTAAAAGTTTGGCATGGAGAGCATACCGGCAGCCAGCAACACGAGCTGAACAGTAACGCAAATACTTCGGGTAGCATCGTTAAAATCAACCGATAAGCGCATCCAGAGAGACCCTCGTTCTCGGCGCAGGGTCTGGAAGGTTTGTTCGCGGGGACCAAGCAATCGCGGCAAGGCATTTTAAGTGATTTGGCGATAATATAGCCGTACAATCAAGTGCCCTCTACTCTCCCTATATAGCTATGCAGTCTCGCCAAAATACGGCATTTGCGCCTTCAAATTGCCCGCAGGAATTGAACCTGATCTGGAGTATGCTGCTGGTGCGTGAGTGCTCAACCAAGCGATAATCCCTCGCTGATATTTCAAGCAGATCCCCTGTATCTCCTCAACCCCTACTCCTTGTGAGTAGAAAGGGCTTCGATTAGACTTTCCAGGATCCGCGGAATGATATATTATTTCTTTATCCATAGCAGGCATCGAAACCTAGGAAAAGCCTCGCACTGGGTGCGAAATAGCGGGGCTGGTTTGAGGCCGATTCTTGTGTGCGATGAAGACAACCTTGGAACTCCTTCTTACAGGCCCCAATACTTTATCCTGTCAATAATTGGATCCCACACATGTGGTGCCCCCTGTTAGCCTAGCTAGTCTCTGCAGAAAGAGGAGAGAGCTGATATTAATCACGAAACAGCAAATGGATGGGGGGTTGGCCAAACCCTTTGCCCAGTCCAATGTGAGAGATTTTTGCGGTCTTTTGAGTTTCAAGGTTCCTTGGCGGGCATATTCAGAGACCCTGACTGGCCAAGCATCTGCCAAGCCACTAAAACCCGCAAAAACATCGCATTGTGGGGTTGGGCTGGAACCACACACTCCTCTCGAAGAATGGAAAAGACTGCAGAAAGAAGTTGAAAACTGAAGGGGAAAAAAAAGGCAAAGATAAGATGAAGGGAGGAATATCAATGGCCTCTAACTACCTATTTTGTGGCAGGGTGCAAATTTCCCATCTTAGCGCAATGTACGAGCTATGGTTGTTCGTTCTCATCTCTCGAATTCTTGCCTCAAGAAGTTTCCTCCCATTATTAGCTTAATAATGCCAAAGCACTCAGCCCAGATTTAGTCTTAATATACATAGTTACGCCCACCTGCCGAGCAGCGCCATGAGACCTGCACCAAGGCAGAGCAGAAGAATTGCGGACCAAACAGTACAAAGAGGAGCCCGCCGCATGAATGAGCTGAACAGGAAATCGCGGGCAATTAACTCAATAAGGCCAGTGTAAATAAGAATGCCTGCTGAGATGGCATCAAAAACGCCGTTGACTATCAGTGTTGACCGAGCACTAGGCGGGTAAGTATTGCGCACTCCCAAGCCAACTGCGACGGCAATGGGGGTAGTCAGGCCATAGGCAATGGCCAGAACGTAAGGTGTCCAGCGCCTGGAACTCGGCCATGGAATCATGGCGAGGCGGGATCCCAGACCTAGGCCCTCGAATGTCTGGTGGAAGGTGAGAACAATGTAGAGCGTGTCGAATTCAGAGCCCGCAACTGCAAGTGTAAGGCCTATGAATATGGAATGGAAGATGATCCCAAATTCCAAAACGAAAACACCGACAAGTTGGCCTGCATAGTCGTCCGCAAATGCCAGGTTGCCTCGAGCCATCTCTGTGTCTTGGTATTGCTGGGGATGGCGCAAATTCTCGTCCATCAGCGCGTGACGCTTGGCCTGATTCCATCCACCAGAAGTATCAACGTCGCCAAAACACCGATCGCCATTATCAACGATCTCGTTCTGTTGACTCGAGTCGAGAGATGAATGGCGCATAATCATCGATTCCACCAGGAACATGGCAACAATGGTCATGAGAATGATCCCCTCCACCCAGGGATACTTCGAGATCGAACCAGCCAAGCAGTCATCCCTTAGAGCCTCTTCCGCTGGAGCCAGCAAATGAATAAACGCAGTCGCAATGATGACACCAGAGCCAAAATATTTGGCAATAAAAAATGTCCGTTGTGCGATTCGCTCCCACTTAGCGCCAACTGTCTTTGAACGCATCACCAGCACAGGGAAAAGTGCCGCTGTCATCGAGCCAGCCATGATGACGAAAATAGATGAAACACGGAGGCCCATACGACCGTCATAGTCGTTTCCGATTTCGCAAGTATTAGGCGTAATGCCACTAGTATCACCTTGGAGGGAACGTGACTGTTCCACGTCCATCCTGACAAGGGAATGCACCGGGGATTCCAAGTTCCAGCACGGGTAAAGATGGAATTGATCTTGAAAAAAAAACCGTGCAAAGTGATATGCGCACGATAGTCGGACTTGTTTATAATAGTGTATCAGAAAGAGTTAGAGAATAGAAACCATTACGATAACTGTCTTTCGTCCTCTTTTAAGGATTCCATCGTCCACCAAGGTCCTCGCTTCACAACAAGGATGACACCCAAGATTTTTTGGAGAAGAGTATATGAAGACTGTGCCAAGGAGATAGACGGGGTAAATAAAAGAAGGCATGGTCATAGGCACACAACCCCTGGCTTGGTCTACTTGCTTTTTCTTCTTAGCGCCCGGCCGCTTCGTTTCCTTACTACCCTTAGGAGGCAGAATAGCTCCTATTCCTGCTTTTCTAGAGCGCCAAGTCAGCAAGAGAGTCATATTTCCACATCTTCGTCAGATGATGGACTAAATCGTTGGATCTTTGTCCGCAGCCGAATGGATAGGTACAAGAGAAACACTCAAGGCACATGGGACCTTTTCGCACCATCTCAGATAGATTTTCAGCCAAGGAACTTGAGACCGCGCGATAATGCCTCGTATCTTTGTATAGAACCCTCTAAACTGTGTCACTTTGATTGATTGTTTGAGCCCTGAGATCCTCACAATCCATTGGACGTCCAGTCTCCATGTGTTCAGTAGCCAAAACTTGGCCAAGACGCGCTAAAATGCGCGAAAACACCTCATGGAACCCGTGTGACCTTTTCCGAGAATATAATCGGCTCCATTTACTTCCTCCGACCGCAAGGACATTTGACCCTTCTCAGGGACATTGATTTCTTCATGATTGACTTCTTCCCATCAAATGCCACGATTTTCATTCCCACTTGGTGCGGTATGCACTCTTCTTTTAGTGCAAGTCGCTCTTGGTGCCCTACGGACGTTCAACTTCACCGTTCATACCGCCCAGCGCAGACCAGGTTTGCGCACCGATTCCTTGCTTTATGAGCAGGACAGCTAATTCTAGTTACTAATAGATGGCTACTCCCGTGAAGTGTACTTGATCAATGGAAAGCAGCCCGGTCCACTGATTGAAGTTGACGAAGGGGATGATGTGGAGGTGTTTGTTCGAAATGAGTTGCCAGTTAGCACTACAATCCATTGGCATGGTATGTTATCGTCAAAGCATACCTGGCAGCCCAACTAAGCACCTGGATCCAGGGATCCTTCAGCGTGGAACACCGGACATGGACGGGGTCCCAGGAGTAACGCAGGTACCTGTGCCACCCTTCGAGCGCTGGAGAGAGTGTCCGTGTCTGACTAACTCGGTTCATAGTACCAAATCCCTCCCGGCGGAAACTTTACATACCGATTTTCTTTGAAGGACGAATACGGGTTTTACTGGTATCATTCTCATTTCCGTGCATACTATAACGATGCTATACGAGGGGCCCTCATGATCCGGCCCGCACCATCTCGTCGTCGGCCCTTTGAAGACTTGGCTACAAGCAGGGCGGAGCGTGAACAGCTGCTGCAGGCGGAAACGGATGCGGTACCTATCCTCCTGAACGACTGGACGCACGAGCTATCGGACACGATCTTTAGCCGCTACCTTGAAACAGGCGCCTTCCCCAACTGTGTGGACAGTATTCTAGCCAATGGCCTGGGTAGGGTAGAATGCCTGCCAAAGTATATGCTCGATGCAGGGCCGGGCTTAGGCATCACGGACGAAGCCAATGCCACACACCACAACCCTAGTGCGACAATGACCACTACGGAAATGGAAATGCCATCGATGGCGAGAAGAATGGAGCATCCCACCGATGATAACTCCCACGACCAGATGATGTCCATGCCTCTGGTGAGCACGGCAAATCCGTCAGAGTCCACCATGTCCACAACAGGTGGGATGGCTATGCCCAGCTCGGGTACCATGGGCGAGTCCCACGCCATGGACGAATCAATGGGGTTGAGCCCTCGGGGCTGCATGCCACCCATGATGTTCAAGCCGGGATTCAATATCACCTCGCTGCCAGCAGAGACATGTGTGAACACAACATCCCAACAGCTGGTTGTCAACGCCAATGCGTCTCAGGGATGGCTCGCCCTCAACCTCGTGAATTCCGGAGCCGTTAGCAACCTCAAGGTCTCCCTTGACAGCCACTCAATGTATGTCTATGCTGCAGATGGACTCTATGTGAACTTGCAGGAAGTCAAGGTATGATCTCGCCTTTCTATTGTCATCAAACTACCTTCTTCTAACATTGCCAGGTCCTTGAAATTGCTCTTGGCCAACGATATTCTGTGATGATAAGGCTTGACCAGCCTCCTGACAACTACTACCTTCGATTCGCCACTTTTCCAAACGGTGATATGCAACAGGTTTTGGAGGGCCAGGCAATAGTGTCCTATAATGTCAGTGGATCCAAAGCATTCCATCCCACGCCGCTGCTATTAACACGCTGAGTAGACCGCCAGAAACGACACACAGGACGTCTCGGTTGATCCGATGTCTGTCTGGATGTTGACAAACGGTTCCGCCACGCGAGGTGCCAACGAACTGGTAGAATCACACCTGGCACCGTTCGAGGGTAATAGGCCTCCCGTTACAGCTGCCGATACCACGCGAATCTTTAATATCAATCAGACCGACATTGTCACCTGGGTTGTGGACCGGTATCCGTATGCTGAACCATCGATTCCAATCATCTACGGTAACATGTCTGATGGATGGAATTCAAACACCACCCTCCACTTCCCGGCGAACTCGACTGTTGATATCGTGATGAATATCGCAAATGACTCGTTGGATACGGTGCGCCCCCCACTCGGCCCCCTGTGCTACCTTTCTACCATTTTACCGCGCACATAGTAGAGCCACTGACATGCATTATCAGATGGGCCATCCAATGCACCTTCATGGCCATAAGTTTTGGGTTCTGGGTTCCGGCAGTGGCTCATTCCCTTACCAGTCGGTAGCAGAAGCGCCGTCGTCCCTGATCAACCTCGACGACCCACCGTACAGGGATACCGCGAATTTACCATCAGCAGGATGGCTCGCGATTCGGTGAGTGAAAAGTCCAAGCCGGCAAGCAAAAAAAAAAAAATTCAAGCCATGTAGTGGTTAATGATGCAATAGCTATATCACTGATAACCCGGGCGCATGGATACTTCATTGCCATATCCAGTGGCACATTGTGGTCTGTCAACACCAACTCCCCTTCCTTTCTGACTCCCAATTGGGGGACAAACGCTTACGGTTACTTTGTTCTTTAGTCTGGAATGGCCCTGGTCTTAGTCGAGGGCGAAGATCAGCTCGGCGCTTTGATTCGGCAAGGTAATGGCTCGATCCCGGATTCTACTACGCCAATCACATCCAGTACCGCACCGTCGTATACTTTCAATTCTTCTGGTCCTTGGATTGCTTTTGGTATTATGCTGAATGCGCTGGTCGCGTTTTCGTAGTGAGCCACTGTTTGCACCTCGCCTGTGTTTATCTTTTCTTGGCTAGACCTGCTTTTATCCCTGTAGCATATATGTCGAGTATTCACTACTGGCAGCGCATGTTTACTACAGGTACATTAAATAGGCGATGTATAGTAGAGACGTACGCCTTGCATTGGCTTCAGTGACAAATGAATGGCTTAACCCTTATTATTTGAGAATCCCTAAAGAGTGGCTGACTTTCGGCTCCCCAGTGGCTATTTCTATAAGGCAATTTGTTCCACGAGCACTGCTTCTTCGCCGCTGAACATTTTTGGTAGAATTGACTTGTACATTCCACTCGGTTGATACAGTTCTCCGGCCCCCACCCCCAACCCACGGCTCACCCTCAGCCTGCGCCAAGAACACTAAATTGGTGTAGCAAGGCAGCTATTTCTGCAACAAGGGTCAGTACATCCATGTATCGATGAGATATATGAGAAATAGTTGTAAACTTACACCGCACGAACTGCAAGTGCAATCCTTTGTAGAGCAAGTGCATGTTTGGGGCCCAGAGCAGGCACAAGAGGATCCACAGCTGCAGGCCATATTCGCAGAATAACAGGTGTCGGTTGCTGAATGTATTCAATAAATTTCTTGAGATATTTGGCTCATGATATATTCGCCAAAGGTCTGGGGACCTTGAGAGCCTTTATAACTGTCAACAGGTCTCGAAAAATGGGTGACCTAGAACAGAACTCATGCTATAAGGACCGTGGTCTTGTGTGGCGAAATAGCAAGGACTAAACGTCATCATTACTGGAGAAGAGTCGCTCAACCAAAGGACTACCTGGCTCAAGCCTCATCTTTCGTGGAGAAGCGATAACACGTAATCTAAACACCATCATGATTGAAAGGCGCTAAAGGCCTGAGATGTTTTCGCGTAGTTTGGCGCTGGGTAGTGCGGGCATTAACCCACAACCACTGGACATTCCTGGATATCCTGAGATATTTTTGCGTGGCTTAGCGTAGTTGAGCGTGGAATGGCAAGGCGAGAACATTACGGGCCCACATAGCCTCCCCAACCAGCGCTGATTCACTGAGATGAACCATTGGCCCTGCCTGTCCCAGGATTGTTGATTGCCATCATTGCGATCAGTATTCTCCTCAACACGAATAATACAGTTGGTGTCACAAAACGCAAAATGCTATGGATACTGTAGAACCCACTAACAAGTCATGAAAGAGAATCAAAGTAGTACGTGCTAGCTATTATACTGCTCCATACAAGTCGCCCGAGGATGCTTTGGGAAAGGGGCCCTTTGCCAGGAAGCCTGAGAAGATTTGTCCACATACTTGGTGGTTCTTAGTGGGCTTGAGCACCCACACAACAGGAATGTGGGTTGCATGACTTGGTGTTTGCATCACAATCCCTATGAATAGTATTACGGTGACTTCTTTTGATGTTTGACACTCTTGCATCAGCATAGCGTCGCTCGAGGCTCTCCTAGTGGATATAAAGAGTTGCTCAGAGGCCAAGCCAATTTAATGGAAAGAAGGATCTTCTGAATTCAGCTATACAGCTGACGCGAAAGGATCATGTATTTTGACCAGTGTAGGGTTGACTAATCCCCTTATTTCCCCGGTTTGAAGATGATCCCAGTTCCTCCACTTGGCCAATCCTGTCTGGTAGTAACGGTGCTGAAAATCGTGGATCATAAGGGGCGAAGGCGTGTGGCATATGTTCAAGAAGTTCAGCATTGCCAGAACCCAACAAATCTGGCTGTAGCCCCTCCCAATCCAAAGTATAGGCGTCTGCTTCAGTGAGACCTGGTATAAACCGCGTATAAGTGGAAGGAAACACTTCCTCTCCGTAGAAGTTTCCAGAATTGATGTCGTTCATGGATCCGCCCAGGGTGGTCATTGCTGGAAGGTCAACAGCGGAGAATAAGGACATATCCAAATTAGGACTCTCTGCCATTAGGGGCTGGACCGAGGAGTCATCACGAGCCGTTTGTGCTGGGTGTTCAGGCACCATGGCTGAAGAAAGGCCAGTAAAGTATGATATTTCTGCAGGCAGCATAACTGGATTTGTGGGGAGGTTGTCCTCAGCAGAGTTGTACTGGAGGCTGGTGTGTTGATCTAACGTTTGAGATTCGCGTGCATTTGCTGACGCGCTTGTCTGTATCGAATAGAATTGTCCAGAGTAGTTGGAATAATCTTCGCTGTGTACAGCTACTGCACTTTCTGTCTCGGCTAACGTGTTATTGCTTTCATGGTGAGGATGAGAATCTGCCCAAGATGGTTCCGAAACAGGATCCATGGACGGCTCTGTCTTGAGCGCACAAGCACAACGTTCCCCACGAGCACAATTACATTGCGGATAGGAATTTCCTATGCCTGATAGTTAATATAAAGCTAGCCATATATACAAGATATTAACGAACTCACGAGTTTCAGCGTTCCTCTTTTCTGGGTTAGCAGGGCCACATCCACACTTGACATGTGCTGATCGTGATTCGCGTAGAGTACGACAGTGAAGGCACTGAGAGACTGGTCGTCCTTTTTTTTTTATAAGGGTCAAAGGACGGTCTGGAGAGCCAGTTAGCAGTGTACTAGTTCAGTATCTTCGTGATAACGTTCCTGAATGGGAACAGCTGGCAGCACGGTGGCCACGGATACAGGACTCACATGCCCACTTCTCGCCATCGATAAGCATTGTTGGCGCGTATTTTAAACAAGCGCGTGACTAGAATGTAAACAATGTTGTGTTATCGTTCAAAAGAATAGATTCCAAGCAGAGCGCAAAAGTAAGAAGGCACTTGAGACATGTTGGTAGGAAGAATGAGCTGTCGTTGAAAGTTGGATTGGGGTTGAATTATTCCGGCTGCCCTTGCCACACCACTGCAGATCGTATCTGCCTGCGTAGAATCTAGAACGCCAAACATTCACTCCGAGGGATTGTCATGTGACCTGCCATCATATGCATCCGACTGATTCCAAAAGCTAAGGAACGCTAGATAAATATAAGATTAGCTTCTAGATTGTTCATACTGCTACATTAACTGGAACGTGTCAATCTGTCGGGGTTTCCAGACATCCAGAGGTGAGAGATCAATCCAGACTATTTACCGGGCGAAATGATATATATCCTCTTGAATATCGAGCATCCTCTTATCGGGGGATTAAGGTTTCTCGGGAAGCCTAGCCGTCAAGAGATCCTGCAAGTCGTCTCTAAGCTTATGTCCGAGCTTGACCACGTTGTCAAACCAGAGAAGCTTGCGAAGGCTGAGTGTATCTATGGGATATCCCCAGCGAAGCGACCAAGTTAGTACTTTGTATCGTCGTTGTCGTCCATGGCCCGAACAGTATACAGCTTGGTTTGACACAATCTCGACTAAGGCTTCATATGGTCTGACCTAACAGGTAAATTAATGCCGTCGTTTAGAGTAATAACATCTGTCCATTTGTAGACGGAACCAAAAATTAGCAAGATAACCACGAACCCATCTGAGAGCAAATGTCAACCATACGCACGCTAAGGCGACGTAACATATTAAGCAGTGCTCTTGTCCCTTTCCTGCCAGAGAGTAAGCTCCTCGAGAGCTAGGCAATGTCCACAACCTGGTAACCCTCAGAGGAAAAGCCATTATCATCCATAATTCTGGCTATCCCTTGATTCATGTCCGTTGCTAGGTTGAAGCCCTCTGTTGGGGGTACCAACGAGCTACGACCCCAAACAAGGCATCACTAGTTTGGTGTCATTGCCTAGCTCCTGTATCCATTCCGGGCTGTTCCGGGCCGTCTCCTTCAATTGTGCGTCATGAAATCGGATGATGTACTTCGATTTGGTGGTTCCTATCCCTGCCACATGGACGTCCTTGGTAGTGTCCAAAGCTTAGCAGGGGCGACCTGATCTTCGTGTTTGTTATGTCGGTAGGTATCTCACGAAGCCTCTACCCTCGTTCTCATTATCATCAGATTTCTCTGGGGTGCTAACTCTTAACGCAGTTGCGTTCTCTGTGGTTTCGTTTGGAAGATGTGGTTGGAGGTTGCTGGCTGGGGGTCGCGGCTCCGTCCGCCCATGTTTTCGCCGAGCGTTCGGCGGTCGGCATGGCCTCAAGTTGTTCCTGGAGGCCTTGCACTTCCTGAAAATCCAACATATTGGGATTTAAGTATCTGCTGATCGGCTCTGATCTCCCGGAGTTCGTTGCTCTGGAGCGTGATGATTTCTTTGAGGTCTTCGATTAGGCGGCGAAGATCCTGGGTTGTGACGCGTCCATTCTCCTTAGGCTTTAGAGCTTCGACGATTTCGACCAAATTATCACCTATGCTGTTTCTGTCCCTCAGGCGCTTCCTTTTCCCCCACATTGACTTGCCAGGTGGGAGTTGCTCAAACGCTTCGAACGTGAATGCCTTGACAGCCCCTGACGCGTTTTATTGGGGTTCGGCTTCCCCATCGGGTGGGACTGCCATCGGGCCGCTTTTAGATCCCGCCCGGCACACAAAGAATCAACACCAGTTCACCAGAAAATATAGTAGGCGGCTCTTAACGTTTTAGTCTGCGGTTCCTTCACCTCATGTACCAAGCTATTTGGAATAAGCGGCTTGTTTGGAAAACAGAATGATTAGGCATACTAGCATCCTCTTCATATACTGGACATCTGCAAGCATATATATTTCTAGTGGTGACTTCCCAGCAAGGCAAGCAAAAGGAAAGCTTTATAAGGAAAGTCTCTAGCTTTGATATCAAAATAACCGAATAATTGCTGGTTGTCAGACTGATTCAGACTCTGCCTGTACATTGTCCGCCCTGTCAAAATCCATGGCCTTGATAAATCCCTGGCTTGCCATCATCTTGCAGATTTTGTAACATTTATCATCTGGTTCCCGAACTAAAAACCCCTCTTTTGTACCCTCTCTCATCCAGGAGGTATTGCTTGGCGCTCCAGTGACAAAAGCAGCGATAGCTAATCTGTGCACAACGCTGACTTTTTCAAACGCTTTCAATTTCTGCAAGAGCTCCTTCGCCAACTGGTAGGTATCGCACGAGTCAGACAAATTTTACATTAGAAGTGTATTACTAACCTCAACATCTTGTTTCGAAGTATTCTCATCCCGGGGATCACGTCTTGAGTAATCGTCGACATTAAGTATCTAATTCAAGAGTAGTTAGTATATTGCTGATCTAACCTGGATGAATGCCTCCCTTACTGGTATGAGTAAATCGACGCCTCGTTTCATGATAAATAACTGGAAGAGAGATTGGAGAATTATCACTGTATATCTTGCAGTGCTGCCTTGATAGCAAAGATTTATGGCTGGTAGATTTATGTGTTACGTTCTGAATATCAAAATTTATGCGTTTGAGCAGCGGGTCTGCCGTCCCCAAACGGTCTCGCAACTGCCTTGGTACGGGGACGTGGGGCCTCGATCGACCTTCGGATACCGGGAACAGATCGACATCCGGTTGGCCAGTTTTCCCTGCTGCGAGACGTTTTCGATGCTGCAGGCCTAGGCCGGCCAAATCTAGGCCAATGGTTATGACCGCGGCAGACCATTCCACTGCCATATTTAAGTCGATTAGGACCTAATTGACTTGCTAGAGCCAGATCAACAAGTCTCGAATCACACCTCAAGTTTTCCGTTAACTCTTCCGATTCTCATATGATGGCTGCAGGCCTTGATTTTCGTTTAACGGTAAGAACATGAAAGGCTGCGTACTGCAAGAATCAAGCGCTCAATATTTGTGTTAGTTTATGCGACCCGGTGAGGAGGCAGGCCTTGGATCGTTCCTCTTTGAAGGTGAACTAGAGCCAGTGGATGACAAAGACTATGATGTACGCAATCTGATCTACTAGCGGCAGGCGCCTATAACTGACAGGTTCTACAGTGTGTTGTTGACTTATTTCGAACTTTAATGGCTATTAAACGCCTTGATGCGGTACGAAAACTTGCCATAGGTTTCTATCTAGAGGCGAATGTACGGCCAACTTCGTGGCTATTCAATGTGAATGGTTTTGTGGCAGAGATACCGGCAGGCAAGTTGGTCAGTTTCGAAGAAGCATTGAGCACGTGGCTGTCTAGGATGAAGTGTGACAAATCAAAGGTGGAACATAAAGCAAACGAGGCTGCAAGAACCTGTGAAGCGACTTTTGATAAGGAAGAGTAGAAATAGTCAAGCCGCATCATGTACATCCATGGGAGAATAGGAATAACAACTTGTGAGCCTTGCCATCAACATACCTCGGCTCTTACTGTACTGTACATATCCCGGTGACTCTAGGTACGCACAAACAAGGATACATGTACAGTGTCTGTCAGGTATAGATCCGATATTGTTGTCCGCCAGCCTGCAAGCAAAATAGTCTCCACCCAGTCTAGCTCCCCCGCAAAGCCGAGATCTGGCAAGTCCTCCGCTGTCGCGCGACCGCATCGCAACACTCACGCTGTTAAACCCGGCTCTCATAGCTAGCCTGCCGTAGGTGGACCTTCTCACATCCCCTAGGTCTGTCGGCCACGAGTCCAAGGAGAAATGTTTCTGGATCGTCTCTCCCGTTTCTGCAAGGCTCGCCTGCCCATCGTGACAGACGGAGATCAGCCGGGCGTTGTTCCCGCGGATTCCGTTGGCTCGAATACCGCAAACGAGGTGACTGCGTATCCGAGCGGGGTCGTGATGCCCCTTGAAGCGAGAGGGAGGCGTCCGAGGCGCAACCATCCAGTCAAATATTCTGAACATCATAAACTAGTGTGGTACATGTATGTAATTAAATGTGTTGCTGTGTAGGCCGCGTAGTGGCGTGATTGAACTCAATTTTAGCAGCGGTGTTTTTTCAATATTCCCTACAGAGCATCCTCTCATCGCAATACATGAAGTGCAGGTTTACAAAGCGACCCTTGAAGCATCCTAAGAGCATGCAGTGGCGGTGTCGGCTGTAGTTGTAGGGCTCAAAGCTGTGTTGTATCCTGCTGCAAGTGGGGCTGAAACGCGATCGCGATCGCGATCAGCTGTGCGCTGACCCTTGAGCCGGAGGTTGTTGAGGAAATTTGAACGAATCTCCACCAAGACACCCCGCACTTCAGGAACGAGTTAGAGCGGGAATGGCTGATCAGCTCTTGAAAGGACGCCAAGGCGTGACCAAGCCACTATGCTAGCCACAGGGGTGGCGGGTGGAATCACCGGTCACCTGACAGAACCCAGACCGCCATACTGGCTGCCGGCATGCTCTTTTTCCGGGTCCGCTCACAGATGCCCTCCGCCGGACGACTGCATGACTGCCCTGGCTGTCAAACGGCTCAAGATGGCCAAACCTGTGCCTGTACCCGAAAGGCCTACGCAGGAATCTTGCAATTCGGATATACCCAAAAACACCCCTCCTGACAGAAACATCAGCCTTCCTTTAACCCCTCCTGCCTCAGAGCAGCGTCAGCCATCAGCTGCATCTTCTGACGCCCTAGAGATACTCAAGGATCTCCAAAACGACCATTCCGAAGTCTCCAACGACGGACAGAAAACGATCGCTTTACCACCTGATCAGTATCACCATATGCTGACAGCATTAGAGCGCGACAAACTGCTCAAAGGCTACGTGGACGACAAAGCGCGGTGTGTTTGTCATCCGTCCCTTATTAGTATTTCATAGCTAATAGCACAGGTGGGACTACGACCCAAAGGCAGGGCTTCTACATGTTCGCATGCCTACTCCGGTGCATGATTTCTTCGCTAGCTCTGTGGCCCTCGAGATATATAAACAGCTTCAGTCCATTGCAAATGGCGACAGCGCAGCAAGCAAGTTCGCGAAGCAAATCCAAAGCGGAGGGTCTTCCCGTATATTTTTAAAAGACGGCGATTCTGGTGAAGAGACGGCAGTTCCAAGGACCTTTCCACACAGACAACCTGACGCGCAATTCCAATATCCCCGCACAGCATATCCTGGTATAGTCCTGGAGGTTTCTTATTCACAAAACGGGAAGGATCTTCAGAAGTTGGCTCGAGATTATATACTACAGTCCAACGGCGATATTAAGGTGGTAATTGGCTTCAATATCAATTACGGCGAAACAGAAGAATCAACCGTGTCTCTGTGGCGCCCCTTGTATATTCAAGAAAAAGGAGAGGAATACGATATGCTTGATGTGCAGCAGGAAATCAAATATGAAGTTAGTGCCCCTTCTCTCTTCCTGATTAATCACTTAACAAGAAGCGCTGAATTCCAAAGCCCTTTCGAACTCCGGACGGAGTATATGTGAACCAAACTCAGCATATACGCCTAGAGCTGAGCGACTTTGCGCCTGACAGAGTGTCGGCAGACTTTCATGGTTTATATCTGGATATCAGTTACGAGAAACTTGCCGACTTTCTTAGAGATGCTGAGGAAATGCGCCAAGCAAGGGAGTCGGGCGTTGGTATTAAAACTGACCGAAAGACAAGAAAGCGAAAGTACTCGTCATCTTCGGCCGAAGAAATAAAGACGGAGGACGAGGCTGAACATTGTCTTCGGGAGACAGAAGACGCGCAACGCTCCGCCGCGCGCGATACTGACTATAACCCACTTTCCAGGAGAAGGAGGATATAGCCAAAGCGTGCTCGCCATGGTGATAGCGATTACTGTATTCGATTGGGAAAGGAAGAAGGGCAAATGGGACGAGTTCAAGAGAAGGCTCGATTGGCTTCAACGAAAGGGTCCGGCCATACCGACGTGGTAGGGTACTCAGGACGTTGTTTAGAGTGTGGGACCGAACTTGCTAGTCGGCGGAGGCATCTTTCTTGTGTGGACAGGGTTTCGATGTTCAGGATGCTCGAGATAGTATGGTGGCAGGTACGAATGAACTCGGTATAACTGCAGGGCTGGGTTCGGCGTCCTTCCGCAACGAAGAGCGATTTGGAAGTCTCTGGTGGTTCGGCTCCTAATTCTCCAAGGGCTGGCCCAAGGGCGTCAAGTCTAACTCCAACCCCGACTCATCCGCAAAGCTTTGAAGCTTTCTAAATCTTGCCCAATGTTAGGAAGTTAGCAACCAAAGAGTCAACCGGCAACCGATACATGCCTGATTGTTGGACCTAGGATGTGTTGGTGAAGCGTTTTATCGAGCTCCCGTTCCGAGTCGGAATCTTTGCCGGGCTCTAGGTATCTTGCACAACAAGTGAAGCCGTGTTGGACAGTGTTTCCCAGTCGGCGGTGGGATTGTCCCTTGTGTGGATCGTGACGGCGTTTCGACTTTCAAAGGGATGGACAGGAGGGAGTGGCACGCGCGAATAAATTCCTCAAAAGTGGTAGCCTGGTTGCGCTGTTCCGCCTGTTTTCGCAGTGCGGCCTCGTGAAGATAGAGGGCTTTATCATCCGGTGAGCTCATATACGCCCATTTCTCGCATGAGATCAGAATGAGTGAAGATATTAGTCTCTGATCTCCGGTCAGTGGACTTTCTGCCATGATATACCGCCTGTTGGATTTTGAGCATTGGCTAGTCTTGGGTGGAGATAAATCACGTGAAGTGCCTGAGGCATCGGCGATAGTCCGGAAATGATCAATGAGCTCATTTCTGGAACGGGTTTGGGATGAGTTGGTGAAGAAAGATGTCTGGATATCTGTACTCTTTGGGATAGAACAGCTTCGTGGGCTTTCTGCTAAGCGCTACCGGCCTTCCACCGTTCCATGTAGTAATGCTCGAGTCAAACCGGGAGTTGAGCCACGTGACTACAGATAGGTTGGGCACCGGAAGAGAAAGCGGTCAGTCACGACGCAGAATAACGTATGAGCCTGAGATTTCGCCGAGCCCCTCTCCAGACTCGACTCACTCATCATCCACCATCCGACAATGAACAGAGGTGTGTTCTTTTCTCAAGACAGATTTATTTGAACATCCTCGCTGATCAAGCCTACAAGGCTATCTAGCCTAGAAATGTGAAGTGACTAGATCCAGAAATGGCCGACTATGGAGCTTTTGCCGAGATCAACTTGTCGCCAGCCACGAAAGAGCTCTTACAGAGCTTGGGTGATTGGACTGCCACTGCTGAGTTCAAAACAGCTAAAGAAAAGAGTTGGGAGACCTGTTCGGACAAGAATCGGGAAATTGTTTTGGAGGCTTTACTGGAGCAGCCCGAGATCAAAGATAAGGTATGGAGGGATAAATTCTTCCCCATGCTACTTTATCCTATTAACGGTTTACCTAGGTTGCTGACGAATCCTCACGCCGTTTTATCATCCGCATTTCCGGACCCATTCCTGGTTATTTCGGGAGCTCACAAGGGCCGGCATATGTATATCCCCTACGAATCCATCCAAACACGAAACCGAGTATATCTGGAATACCTCTGGAGGTTGGAAGGTGCATAGAAATCAAGAGTCAGGTGTTCACCGTGACACATGGTGCTGATTGTCTCATCATCCTAACCGTGAGCGCAAGCTAGATGCTCAGCCAGATCTCAACTGAACTGGTCCAAAAAAGAATATAAGTCGGTCGGCTCGTCCTCAAGTGGATATAACTCAGTCACTCCATCTCTAACATGATAAAGGTCAAAGGGCGGCTCTATAAGAGGATATAGCTCAGTTGGTGCTTCGTCAAGGATGTAAAGCTCCGTCGGTGCTTCTGGAGGGGCGGGAAATGTGCTCGTGTAGGCAGGAGTACCAAGGTCATCTCGGGAAGCTGATGGTGGGTGGCCTGGAACTGGTAGTGTCGATTGTTGCTTTATTTGATCTTGATATGAGACAACGTTATCCTTTCCCTGTTGGTTGAGAATATGGACAGAGTCGATGGCGGGCTTTTTGTGAACTAAAGAAATCTGCTGGGGATCTAGTCCAGTGGAAGGAGTTGAAGAGAAGTAGTTTTCTGTTGGCGCATAATTCAATAGTCGGGTAGCTCGACCTGGACACGTCGCATGAACATTGGTGACACAAGGACCACAAGAAAGAACATTTGTTGAACTGTTTGTTCCCTCGTGATTAGGATACGGATGTATGTCATGCCCATTCGAGGTCTGCAGACCATGCCCCATTGTAGAGCAATGCTCGTGGCCAAGTACCTCGCGGTTGCTTTGCCCCACTGTCTGCCTTCCTGATCCGCAAGATCCCAAGGTAGTATCCGGTTGACCATTTTGATCCGCCGGCCCCGAGTTTAGACGCCACTCCGTGCACCCGTCGGTATGGACGCACGGCCCTTCTATGGGCACAGATGATGCTGTTGTCCCCATGTGAGCGGGAAGGGTTTTTTCGTGTACGATATCAGCTCGTGAAGAATAGAGTCGTACGGCCCACAGCGCGCTGGCTTCGGATAAGTAGGAGCACCAGTAGATACATGGGCCAGCAGAGGCTGGGCTGGGGCTTCGGGATGCTGAATTAGGCCAATCGGCTCTTTATACGACGCCTGGGGACGTTCGCCGCTTTGGTTTAACAATAACGAATTCGGTTTGTACCGCACGCGCTTTGACCTAGCTCCAGAAATACTGGGTGCTGAAGCGTGTTCGGCTCGTCGCGAAACTCCACCACTGCACATGACTGCCTTTTTCTTGGAGTATTTTCTTTTCTTTACTGGCAGGTTGGGTGGGCTGCAAGTCCAAGCCCTCTCGGTAATCTCTGATAGAATGAGGTCACCAAGCGTATATAAGTCATGGCGTTGGGCGATTTCAGGGACCTTCAAAGATTGGTACTGCGAAGCAACAAAGTCCAAGTCATCACCTTGGTTCAGAACACCCTCGTACCTTTCCTAATCAGTTCACAGCTGCTCCTGCAGGTTCATATCACTTACGCCGACGGAGGAACTATTCCAATCAGGAAAAAGACACCAGAACCACCTAAGCGTGTTGCATAATTGTCCCAGCGCTTCCCGGCTTGGTAATCCTTTCGAAGAACCTGCTCAAGGTTTTCCCTTGTTGTCTGGTCGGCGTCCCGGGTGGCAATTAGTGTAAGACAATGTTCCGAAGCAGCTTGAGAGAATATCTTGGCTCCGAAAGCAGAACATATGCTTCGAATAAGCAAGTAGATTGCCGTCATGCCAAACGCCCTGCGCATTGCATGCACCACGTCATTTTTCGGGTCTGAATCAATTAGTTTGTGCCATTCATTTTGCCTGTTCCATTTATAGATATAGCTCAAGGCATTTTCCGTTTCCCAGTATGACTTTTGGTCTTGCCCGTCGACCCAGAACACTATTGGGGAAGCCCGGAAGCTGGATATATGTGGGAGCAGCGCCGGTAGAAGGAGGATCTGTTTGATTTGTGATATATGAGTCCGAACTGCAGAAGCTCGATGTTCTGTTTGCTTGAATGTCTCCGATAGTAAAAGTCGAGCATCGTCCGGCAGGTTGTCCTTGTGGTAAACGATAAGTCGGGTAACCTACTCATATCAGCCGTCATGTGCGTGCGGAACAGGGACAATTCTTACCTCTCGGAGAAATTCCTCTAGCTTTGGACCATTATTCCATGTACCAGCCGCCTGTACTAAGTGTCTTTGGGGAAGCGCGTCCATTGTTGCTGGCGGGAGTGTACTAAGGAAGCTCAAGTTCGGTGATGGAAGTCAACCAAGGTTTGGAAATGGGGTGTTCCTTATTTGGCCAATAATTGCCCGACAACGTGACTTTTCTAGTGGGGCAGATTCAACCCCGCTTTGGTCAGGAGCATCACTCTTCCAGCTTGATTTCTAGGTTGATTTCACCATGGGATTCCCCGAGACGCTTTTTCATACACTAATCAAGAATTACTTGACGTATAAGACTTAAGAGTACTGTACATTCACTCTTCAACCCCCCATTCCAGCACGATGATCAAATGATGACTAGATAACGTCGAGGAATTCCCTTGCAGTTCATCCGCTCGCAGAGCCAAAGCAGATAAATTCTTTATCCAAGAGTAATGAGTAAAGGATAAGCTATATATACCGGGGCAACCAAGTCTTTGACGATATCCTAGCACGACAGCTAGTTCCGGCCTCGCGCAACCACTGGAACGATGGAAAATCTCTGTCCTTCGGCCCTATCCATAGTAGCAGGTATTTGTGAGAATGTGAGAATTGCCAGTGGCCTGAGTGCACCGAATCCATGCTCCAGTTAGCTTTGAGGCAGCCAGTAATGTAGGAAACAAGCCGTAGTAGTGACTTCGCTATCGGGGATCGTCGTGCACAATAACTGACGTGCAATCCTCCACAAGAGGCAGCGTGGCGTTGTAACCATGGGACCGGTGAAGCTCTGCCAATCTCCGACAAGTTCTAGTATCCTCCTTAGGTATTCGATTGAGAGTCCAGTGCTTTTTCTGTCTAAGCCAATAGACAGGAAGTGGCTTCTCGTCCTCATGTGCTGTCTTGAAGTCGTAGTCATGATGGTTAATATCAATGGCTATGAAGGTGCGCCGTTGAAACACCTCCATAGCCAGGAAGAGAATCCGGCTGTCACGTTCCCAGTCAGGAAAGACCTCATTGAGAATTCTCTTTGCTGAATTGGCATAGTCGTGGGGGTCTAGACGGTTTGTGTCGAATTTCATGACCAAGCGTTTCGCATCGCTGTTTTCGAAGACCTTCTCATGGATACTAGAGAGGTCACTCATAATGTCATTGAAAGTCTAGCGTTGTGGTAATCTTAAAAGAGCAAATTTCGTTTGTCAACTCAACGAAGAAGAAAAGGGAGCAAGGGGTTCCTCCTTATACTCGAGCAATGCTCAAGCAAGACTAGCCTAAAACGGCAATTTACGCCGGAAGCTAGCCTTGCATTGTCAGGATGGCTAAAGAAGACCACCAATGTGGAAAGTGTCGCGTTCAGTCTGCGACAGAGCTATGTTTAAGCATAATATTTGGCTTTAAGAGTCACTAAAACATGATGAAAGTCAGGTACACCCGTACAACTTCGTTCACGTTCTTCCAATCATCGCTAGCAGTGAGGGCCTATCTGTTATCGTCGGTAACTATCAACCCCGTCCTCATCCCTCCGACTAAGCGCTCCGACTACATGCTTCCTTCTGAGGATGATGGAGTTAAATACTGGTGCGCAGTGCATTTGCCAGGTACCCAGATAATTCCTTCGGCAAATGTTTGTTGAGGGGTGGTAGTGTTGGTAGGGTGACAATCTTGGCCGCATGGCACTGTTTTGTCGAAACCCGCGGAGCAATTGCAGCCTTGCCAGGTCTTTTCAATCCACTTGCACATCTTCTGAAGATCGTTAGACCGTGCGATACCAACGAGCTGAAGCTACGACTAACCTTTTGAGCAGGCCGTTTTAAACAGTGTAACAGGAATATAGGAACGTCGAGAAGCGGTGCGAGCAAACGGAGGAAGTAGCGGCGTCTGCAGAGCAATGAGGGAACGATACTGGGGCGATGATGGCGCAAAGATTATTGGAAATTTTTCTTTGTCTTTACCTTCATTCCGGGGGAGTTTTAGTATAATATACACTGTGCTCCCGGCTATCCTCCTAGCGAACTGTCTGTGCGCGGAAGGTTGGGCCCAAAGGCCGTTGGATCCGTGAGGGGATATGAGGGGCCATGAGTGGCTTACCGTAATCTCAGCACTAACTCATGCATTGCAAGCGTATCAACATGTTGATACCTTTTGCGTTGGTCTTGGGATCCGACTGGTCCACTTTAGGTTGACGCTAATGCATCACCAAAGTATCAACATGTTGATATCTTTAGTTTGATGATGAAAATATTATTGGTCCACTCTGGGTTCACACTACTGTACCACAAAGGTGTCAACATGTTGATGACTTGTCTGGTCTCGGAATCTTATTGGTCCACTTTGGGTTCACACTACGGTACCACAAAGGTATCAACATGTTGATGACTTTGTCTGGTCTCGGAATCTTATTGGTCCACTTTGGGCTCACACTACGGTACCACAAGGGTATCAACATGTTGACGACTTTGTCTGATCTCGGAATATTATTGGTCCACTCTGGGTTGCCAGGATATATCACAAAAGTATCAACATGTTGACGGCCTTGCACAAGTTTAGTCTACTCCTAGCGGCATTCTGAGTTTAGGTTAATGCATTGCAAAATAATGTCAATACCAGCTTGCTTTAGTCTCGGAGAAACAAATTCTCGCAGGGTGATCTGAAAAGAGCATGGATCCAGACCAAGACGTTGATGCTATGGTTCCTCATGTCATTTGGCCCCGTTGGAGCTGAAATGTGATCATCGAATTGAGGACAAGTGGATCCGACCTTGTTTATCCCGTATTTCACCCAAAAAAAATAAGGCTTGTAGATCGGCCCGCAGGATGCCAAAAGTCATGGCGAGTATGTATAAGGATACCCAGCCTGGTCGTAGTTGCTTGTTGCTTCGATGCATCGATCTGGATCTAGCCATGAATCTCTTTCCGAGAATTATTCATTTCATGCGGCGCATAGGCGCTTGTGGGTGGGAGGATTTCCCAGCCGCTGAATCCTCCGTCTCCCGTGCATCTGGGCCTTCGCAACCCGGCACTACTGTGTGTGAACAGCCAGAAGGCATCAACGCACCCGAATATCCTCCTCACCCCGGAAACCGAATCGACCGCCGAATCCAACGTTAGCCTCCTTTCCTTCCCTTGAGGTCATCGCACCCACTCACATTCGCAATATTAGGTCCGCCAGACAGAGCTGGAAAGAATGGCGCGGAATCCGAAACCAACTCAAGGTGGCATTCAAAGAGACCAAGAAATATGACCCATCGCTGATTTCTCCTGACAGCCTTGAGCTTACAGAAGACCCTCAGCAACTTCCCCTCCAATCTACTAATGGTGGGCCGGTTAGATCTCTCGGACCTGAGGCTGGGCCTACATCAAAACCGAGGGACGGGGCAAATCTTCGAGGGCCACCAATGCAACCTAACCGCGGATTTCACCCTTCAAATGATGAGCTGGCTGACTCGGTCGGGTCGAATCCTATACGTACTCCAAACAAAGGGACCACATACTGCAACAATCGAGTGCCGCCAGTTGACTTGGTACCCCGCAGCCAACCGCACGACAACCAAAGCCGTACCTCTGTTGACTCCGTCCTTGTTTTACCCACTCCTGATGTACACCCAAAGTCTCGGCCGGTAGATGTACCTCGCAACAGACCAGTGGGGGGTAGGCCCATAGGTATGCCTCTTCGCCGCTCGCTTGAATTCGATATTTCCATACGGAACTAAGGTTTTGCAGGTAGGTCTGTGCCGCAGACTGGCGAAT